AAAAGCAACTAACCAATTGCTACTCATCATCGGGGGAACCTATCTGGAGGCCGCGAAATATTTCATCTACCATTATATGCCCCATTCATCTTGAATGTCGGGGTGGATAAATTTTCCGTAACATACAAGGGAGAAAAAATGTCCAAATGGTGAATGCATAATTTCCTATTTGTAATAATCCTCTTTGAAGATTCCTGATAGTCCATTTATTTGTTCTCTTAAATACTCGTTATACATAGAAGCCTAGACACCTACAGAACAGGTGGAAAAAGATTACTGTTCACTTGCTTTACTTAATGATAAACATGGCATATGGGAGTCTGTATTTCCCCGGCACGGACAAACTAGGGCCGCACCGTTCTATCAGACACACAAAAAGGGGGAATTTATAAAAAATGCTGACGCGCTTCCGCACGCTTCTGTACGAGACGGGACAATACTCACTCAAAGCAACGCAGTAAAAATCACACATTGATAAAATATCCTTAGAGAAAAAATCATAAGTTGACAGTAGAAAAAAAAAACAGAGCAAGCAAATATAAGTACCACAACATTCTCGAAGACCAGGATGTGCACTCCTTACATATCACATCAGTCTGCCGTAAAGTTGTAATTACAAAACCGCCTATCATTCATTTATGAACGTAAGTAGAAGTTATGCCATTTTTTTGCCATATCTATTGTTCCAATGAGAGAATAATTAATGTATGTGTTACTGATAGAATTGAGGGCTTTCCTAGTAGGATGGAAAAAGGAGGAACTTTCTGGTTATATCTTTGCGAAACGGGATTCATCAAATTTGACAAGGAAGAGGAACATTTAGAAATATGGTATTTCTGGAGCAGGTATGTTTTTGTCTCAATAGTGATCTTGATATAACCCATCAAGTAAAATACCACCTTCTTTGTTGAGGTCCCTGCTTCATCTTACCAGCATATATATATATATTATGGTAATCCTTGAATTATATGGAGATGTGTCAAATTACAGGGTGACCCCCTCCTCGGATTCATCTTATGATTTGTGTGATATCTAATGGAGTATTCGTATGTACGTGAAAACTCACATTTTCACCTTCTTCTTATCATCTCTTAAATGGTTATCCTGTTTAGTGAAGTGTCGCCTTCGTTCTCTTCCGATACGGAAGCTGTTATATTTTGAATTCGCTCTGCCATATTCTTTGCTTTCATAT